GAACTCACAGAGATCCGCCTGCCTCTGCCTCCCGAGTGCTGGGATTAAAGGCGTGCGCCACCACCGCCCGGCTGGAATTTTCTTTTTCCTACTTCTGTATGTCTTACTTTTACTCTTATTCCATTGTTCGCTGTGTGGTTGTGTGGCTGGGTGGCTGGCCTCTACTGTCCTCCTCTCCTTGTTCTCTTGCTCCAAGAGTCTCCTAACCTCACCATAGTTCTCAGTCATTCCTTAGTTTTTCATCAGAAAGTCATGTCCAGCTGGACCAGATTCGCACAATCCTCATTAGCTATCCTAGATCACTGATGCACCTAAATCTGGCTAGTAGTGAATCCTTGGGGAGTCTGATATAGAGAGATGTGTGTCCTCCTTAATCAAGCTTTTGCACAGCAGAGGGTGAATATAACTTATGACTGGAAAATTATGGACGTTATGAAGCTGTTGTTAGCCCAGCTAGAGAACTCTTTACCTCTATTATACTTCTGACTTGACTCACTGTCTGTCTCCTACTAACTCTCATGAGAAGGAATCTGGGTCCTGAACCACAATGAGTTGTACCTGGTGTGTGAGTCTGTGTGTGTGCTGGTGTTGGAGGAATAGAGGTGGAGACTCGGGGTGATGTGGGTACATGTGTGGGTCTTGTTTAAATAGTCGTGGGTCTATCTATAGTTGTGGGTCTTCCTAGCGTTGTGGTTCTACCTGTAGTTGTGGGTCTCCCTGTAGTTGTGTGTCTTCCTTCAGTTGTGGGTCTTCCTGTAGTTCTGTATCCTCCTGTAGTTGAGGGCCTTGTTGCAGGAATTGTGGAAATTTCTGGATTTGAAAATCAAAATAAACAAGGGTCAGTCAAGCAAGAATAGGCAAGTGCTTCTGTTGTAGCACCCATGAGAGGCTGTCCCCAGAGAGGCTCCTCTCCTGAACTTCTGTTCTTTGTCATTGACCAACTAGGACTGGGCAGGACCAATAGGAGGCAGCTACACTTATCATATGGAGCTGAGCACAGAGCCCATGTTCCTAAGGAGACACTGTATAAATGACAGGTGTCAGGTCCTCAGATGTCTAAGCATAGATGTGAGACTGTGAGGTTATGAGGGCCTGGCACTGCTGTCAGTGGTGACTGACTTCACCCACATTACCAGGCCCAGCATGTTCATTTCAGTCAGTCCCCAGCGGACACAACATCCAGCCCTGCATCTTAGCCTATAGATCCCACACAAGCCCCAACTAAATGGGATTTGCACAATTGGGTAGAGAGTGGATAGTGTCTATGGTGCCTTCCAATGTAAAACAGACAAGGTGAATACCACTTATCCACAAATGCTTGGCTTAGTTTGAGAATTTAAATCTTGCTTAAATATTTGGAATATATGCATATATAAAATCTTATGGGTAGGGCTCAAGTATAAACATGGTTAGATGTAGCATTCATATAATTATACTTTACATATATAGCTTAAAGGGTAACTTTTTGAACTGTGGATAATTCTACATATGATACTTTCATGATGTTGAGTTTTCAAGGTGAATTATCAATTCTATGGTCAAAAGGTTCCAGATTTGGGATCATTGTAGATTTGGAATGTTTGGATTAGGCAGGTTCAACCTATAATTCACAAGTCAACATCATCCAAAGAGCTGTAAGGATCCAAACAGCTACTGATGGTCTCAGTGTGCAGAGTTCCAGACACGAGCTAAGGCAAAGTGGTGCTGGGATCACACAGTCAGCCAGGACTCATGCTGTCTGTGTCAGAAGACACATGTGTTCCCTGTAAGTAATCTCCTTTGATCTTGACTGTGCTAAGTAAAAAATAAACCTCAGCAACAAAGAATATTTCCTTTAAAAACTCTTCTTTACCTTGAATACAATGTAGTCCCTTAATATAGTGTGTGCTTACCTTGAAATAAAGAAAAAACTGCCGTGTTCTTTCTATGGATAGCGAAGTAGTGGGAGTAGAGCATGCCCCTTAAATTCAATACATTGATTTATTCATTTATTTGTGTGTTTGTGGGATGTCACACATGCGGGTGCCAGGGGATGACTTTTCAGAGTCTGTTCTCTCCTTCCACCATGTGGGCCCAGGGATTGAACTCAGGTCATTAGGTTTAGCAGTGGGCACCTTTCCCCACTGAGCCATCTCACTGGCCCTCAAGCCCCTTTTATGGAGAGGGTCAGATGAAAGGATTTTTGTCTCAGGGACATAAAAACAGGTGTTCAGGAGCAAGCACTCATGTCAATCAATGAAAGTCAGTGCTGACAACTTAGCAAGGAGTGGGTGTGGCTGTGCTGCAGTAAAACTCTTCCCAGCAGCAGGGGTTCTGTTTCTAACCTGGTCTGCTTAGTTTGCTGATCCAGTCTAATGTGTGGACAGAGGCCTGAGCACAGTACACCCCCTCCCTGGAGAGCATAAATCTCTGAGGTGGAGAAAAGCAAGCATGTGAACAATCTAGTCAGAAGATCACTGTGAGAATAAAGCCAGGAAAGAATCACCAGCTCAGGAGCTTTGCTTCTCTTGCCCTGGGGCATTTTTTTTTCTCCCAGGTAGATGGGAAAGTCAAAGGAGCTGATGAGGGTCCCAGAGCAGCTGAAGAGGAAGCTCCATGTGTTTAAACCATGAGAAGATGTGGACTTGGTTGTTAAAGGAGGAAATAGTTGCTGGCTCATTTAGGGACTACAGTGACTGAGGTGACTCTGTAAGCACTGACCTGCTGTGGGATGTTCTGTGTGGCAAATGTGTTGCTCTGATTGGTTAGTAAATAAAACAGTGATTGGCCAGTAGTCAGGCAGGAGGAAGTATTGGCAGGACAAGGAGGAGAAGAATTCTGGGAAGTGGAAGGCAGAGTCAGAGACACTGCCAGCCGCCACCATGACAAGCCGCATGTGAAGATGCCGGTAAGCCATGAGCCATTTGGCAAGGTATAGATTTATAGAAATGGGTTAATTTAAGATATAAGAACAGTTAGCAAGAAGCCTGCCACGACCATCCAGTTTGTAAGCAATATAAGTCTCAGTGTTTACTTGGTTGGGTCTGAGCGTCTGTGGGAGTTGCGGGTGACTAAGATTTGTCCTGACTGTGGGCCAGGCAGGAATACTCTAGCAACAAATGGCACCCAACGAGTTGGCAAGAGTTTCCACCTAAAACTTGAGAATAGATTCTAAAACGGAGGTAAAAACAGCTTTCTAATTGTCTCTCTCAAATGAGCGGCAGCTTGCTGGTTTGAGCTACTGGTGTGTTCCTAGCTGTGAGCTAGATCTGCAGTATGGTGGGAATGAGGCCTCTGCAAGTGGCACGTCTAAGCTGCATAGTGGATTTACCCTTTGCTAGTACAAAACAAAACAAACAAACAAACAAAAGTTTTCTGGGCTACACGCTGCTTGGATAAAAGCATAGACCCACTATAGCTCCCAGAGCTGGCAGTAAACGTACCACCACCATGTTGGGAAGCTGAGGTGGGCAGAGCCAGCAGCCAAAGCACTGTTTCAGTCTTACAAATGCTGCAGTTTAAAGCAATAGATTCACAATAAGGCAGATTCAGATGTAATAGTTTACAATGTGTGTAAAATATACATAGGCTTGAAAGAGACAAAAAAGGTAATATATACAGTTATATAAACAAATACATAGTTTTAAAAAATAAGTCTTTAAAGAGACAGTAAGATTAATATATAAATAAGCCTTGTAAAGATGAATATTACACAGAGAATCGTGATTGTGTTGTCTTTGGGATGTTTAACTGCAGAAAAATATTTGTCCATAAAAGATGTTGAGTTAAACCAATATGTTTATTTTAAAGATTCCTTGACTTTAAAATTTGGATATAAAGATGTGTTACTTTGAAAGGAGACTCTGCTTTTTTTTCCACAGAAAGCAAGAGGCTATGGATTTGTTCCAGATTAAGGTACATAAGGTTTGACCAGCCAAGACCCCCTGAAAGGTCTCTGATGACACCATGGCCCAGATAATCTAATGTCCAGATCAGATTCAAGGCAACTGACTCAGACAATACAGCCTCATGACTATTCCATAATCCTAAAATTTTCTTTGTGTCCCCAAAAGATACAGCGCCCTCCTCCAGCAGGAAGTAGTAAGAGAAGCTATGCCCAAATTCCCAAATTATATGTAATTTTACTTTGTTAAGGTTAAAACCTTCCTTTTTGAAAAAAAAAAGAAAAAAAATAGAAAAGGGGAAGTGCTATGGGATGTTCTGTATGGCAAATGTGTTGCTCTGATTGGTTAGTAAATAAAAAACTGATTGGCCAGGAGTCCGGCAGGAGGAAGTATAGGCGGGACAAGGAGGAGAAGAATTCTAGGAAGTGAAAGGCTAAGTCAGAGACACTGCTAGCTGCCACCATGACAAGCTGCATGTGAAGATTCCGGTAAGCCACGAGTCATGTGGCAAGGTATAGATTTATGGAAATGGGTTAATTTAAGATATAAGAACAGTTAGCAAGAAACCTGCCACAACCATCCAGCTTGTAAGCAATGTAAGTCTCTGTGTTTACTTGGTTGGGTCTGAGCGTCTGTGGGTCAAGAACCCAAAGGGGCCTGTCTAGCCAAAATGACTAGGTTACATAGGGAAGAGCAGCTGAGGCAGGGGCAGCCCAGCCCAGTCCCTAAGCTGGAGAATTTATGGAGGCGGTGGGGTGTGCCAGGTACTGGCCTTGCTGAGAGAATGGCAGCTAGTGTCTGCTTTGATATGTTAGCAAGCACCTTAGTTTGCCTTCATCCTGAGACCTAGCAGCTAACATCTCCACCACTAAACACCACTAAAAGATGTAACAAGTCAGACTTTCTCCTTGGTCTGGGGAACAGCCTGAGCCCCTCATTCCAGTATTGGCCTCTCTCTCTCTCTTTCTCTCTCTCTTTCTCTCCTCTCTCTCTCTCTCTCTCTCTCTCTCTTCTCTCTCTCTCTGTCTCTCTCTCTGTCTCTCTCTCTCTGTCTCTTTCTCTCTCTCGCTCTTGCTCTTGCTCTTGACCTCCCTCCTTCTCTCTGTCACATTTCTGCTCTTAAAGAAACTCCTCTCTGGATTGTAAATAGAAGCCCCTCCTTCTCTGGAAGCCTCTTCACACCCCATCAAGGGGTGAAACTCATAGATGGTATTGTTTCTGTCTAATGCTCTTCCTACGAGCTGGAGGTCTGATCTTGGCCTTGGGGCCTCCTCATTCTAATAAAGATGATTGGAGGAAATTGTGTGTCAGTGTCATTTATGGACTACCCGCTGCTGCTCATCTGTTACTACACTGCTGAGTGACAGAGAACAGGTGTTGGAGGGAACCTGCCTCTATATGGACATTTCCAGTGTGCAGGCAACAAATTGTGTGACTAGATATGAGACCTATTTCAAAGGCTCAACGCAGGGCAGACAGGGAGCAGAACTCTCCACCTATACACAAATGTATTTATAGCAACCTTTGGTTTCCTTCTTAGAGGAAAACAGAAAATATTAGCACACAGAGGACTAGGGTCACTTGAAGAAATAAACAAAGGAAATAAAGAAAGCTTACCTGGTTTAATTTCCAAGGAATAGGTCACATAATGGAAAGATCCAGGAATCTCCACTATACAACAATATGGACCACTGTCACTCTGAATAGCATTCTCTATTGTCAAGGACACGTTTCCTTTTGAAATATGCCCCTTTAGCTGGTATCTGCTGCTCCTCTTATAGGAGACACGGTGTCCATCGGTCCAGATAAGTGTTCTAGTACAATAAGCAGATCGACATTCACCAAGGCCCCAGCATGTTGTAGTGACTCCCCCATTTGTAGAGTAAGTACATGGCAGTGTGACAGGGTGACCCACCACACCTTCCACTACTGTGTCAGATCCCAGAGCACCTGTGATGGAAAAAAGAAGAGAGCGGGAAGAAATGGAGAATTAGTACCCAATATTTTCCTAAAATTTTGTTTCTATTTCTCTTCAGAAAAATTATGGTATGGGGTATTCAACTGGAATTTAATTTAGGGTATTATGAAACTGAGGCAAGTGCTGTCCACTGAACTACAGCCCTAGTGTGAGAGCCTAGACCTGACTTTACAGGCTCTACCTTAGGGAAAGTGCCACGATGTCAGACCATCTGCTGTTCGCAGTTCCATGAATGACCTCAGGAATGTGCCTCTGAAGATAACTAGATTATCCTGCTGAGTAGTCCAGATAATCCTATTCAGCAGATTCCTGGTTACCCACCAAATCCTAACCCAATGGTTTCAAATGTGGTTTCATGCCCAAAGTCTAGACCAATAGTTTCAGAATTTCTCCTTGAGTCAGATCCCTTCTGCCCAATCCCAAACTACCAATTCCTGGCTTATGATTTTTCCTATAAAAACTCTCTACACCTGGGCTGCCACCACATTTTGTTCCCTCTGCCTGGTGGTGGCCAAGGTTGATCCTGAATAAAAGGACCCTTATGTAATTGCATTGGAAACTGGCTCCTTGTGGTCTCTGGGGGTTTTGAGAAACAGGTACAACACTAGCCTTCTTTATCATTGGTGTATTGGTGTGAATGTGTGTGTGTGTGTGTGTGTGTGTGTGTGTGTGTGTGTGTTGTTGTTGTTGTTGGCGGGGGGTTGGAGGGAATGACAACTTAATGTTTGTTGTTATCATTTGGTTTTCTGAGCCAGGATCTCACTTTGCAGCCTTGGCTGGCCTGGAACTTGCTGCATAAAACAGACTTCAAACTCCCAGAGCTTGGCTGGCCCTACCTCTCCAATCCCATGATTAAATGTCCAGTTTTACTATCTAAATTTGAAGACTGTAAACAGTTTCCTCTTAGCATATTCTTCCTCAGTGTGATTACTTAATGGGTACATTTGTGAACAAAACAACTTGTCTGTTATGATATTCACAAGACTTTTCTTCTCTTTTATATTCTTCAGAGAGTGACTTTCTTTGGAGACGGAGTCTTTTTTTATACCTCGTCTGTCTCAAAGTCAAGATCTCCCACCTCTGATTCCTGAGTTCTGAGATAGTAGACATGTGCCACTGAGACCAGCTCAAATGTTTTTTTTTTTAATTTAAACTTTTTATTTCAAAATCCAGGCTGTGGGTAATGATTATAAACCCAGAACTCACTTGTATCCTGGAACTTGGGAGGAGGAAGATGAGGAATTCAAGGCCAACTTCAGCTAACTATTGAGTTGAAGACAGGCCTTGGATTTGGAGACCTTATCTGAAACCATCCCTCCCCCCCCCCCACATTGCTATAACAACAAAATCACTAACTCTTCCCACCTCTCCTAATCAAAGAGCAGAGCCAGGGCTTTGGAAAAGCATTGTTGGCTTCAAGGCAGAACCTTAGTAACTTCAAAGCCAGTCTTCAGAAAGGAGAGGCTGAGGCTTATTTTGAATTTTATGATTGACCCTTTAAACACACACAGACACATACACACACATAGATACACACATTCACACACACACACACACACACACACACACACACACACTCACACTCACACTCACTCATAAACTAAGCAGAGGTCTTTTTTTAAAAGTTGGTGACATTCCAGAACTTGAGAAAGACCTACCAACTAGCAAAGTAAGACTACATAGTCAGAAATTATGCAACCAAAAACATATTGATGCAATTTAAAAATGCATCATTGATTAAATATAATTCTTTTGGGGATGATGGAATTCAATTTCTACACTTGATCTTAGCCAAAAGGCCGAGAAGCGATGGAATTCAATTTCTAATACCAATATCTTCCACAGTGGCCTTTAAAGGAACTCTGAGGGCTAAGGATGCAGCTCAATGATACAGTGCTTGGCT